TTTGGATCTAACAAAAATGTGTCTTCCACAGGTTTCTATAAACTTTGGGCCGTATTTCAAGTATCCACCTAGAGATATCACTTATCGTCCGGTAAGTAATAACTGAAGCTTTTTACCCCACACTTTGTGATAGCCTCACAGTATTTAAACAGAAGGTGGTTGAGATTTTGTTGTGGTGGTGGGAGTTGATTTTTACCAAGCCTGTATCTGTCCTCTTCAGTCTTTGTACTTGGATAGTGTAGCCAAAAGGATTGCATTTAAAAATATTTAAGGACAGATAGCCTAACAAATAACTTAGCTAAATTTTAACTAAATAGTAGATGCTGTCTTGTTCCTCTTGACAGATTAAAGTCCCTGTTCTTGCCTGTGTTAGCCTCTTTTATCAGTAAGAGGGCTGAATTCTTGTTTAAGGAAACACTTGGAAATCCCCCCCCCACTAATGTTTTCAGGAGGGAAACAGTCCTGAAATGCTGCTGTACAACAGGGCTAGTCACTCTTTGTCCTGAGCCTGTGCTTCGTGACTCGAGCTAACTGTCTTTCGTGCCCTTTGCAGATGAGTGACATGGGCTGGGGTGCTGTCGTGGAGCACACGCTGGCAGATGTACTGTATCATGTAGAGACGGAAGTTGACGGAAGACGAAGTCCGCCCTGGGAGCCGTAAACAAAGCAGGCGGCGTAGCGGTAACGAAAATGACACAGCGGGTATCCAGTCAAGTGGTTTTTATTATAGAGGAACATGCATCACTCAGAGCAATCAGCCAACGAGCAAACAAACAAGCTGAAGCCAACGCAGCTCTTGATGGCAGGCGTTAATGTATATTTGTTACCTGCTGAAGAGTCGTGCCCTACCACTATGCTGGAGTCTAAGTGAATGCAGTTCTGGTATATATTGTATTTGTGGGCATCTCTTGGAGTCTTCAGTAACTCTTACCGTGTAGCTAGCTGAAGAAGCAAGTATTGTGTTGAGGTAACTTCTCATGTGATGTACCTGGGTTGTAACGGTCATTTGTTCAGTGAGAGCAGGCTGGAGTTGGACCTACCTGCTGCATTACACTTGCAGAAGCAACGTTGACACTTCTGTGCAACTGTGTTTTGGCTAATTGTAAACAACAGCTTCCAGCCAGAAGGATTGTGTTGTAACAAGACTACTGCATGTAAGACAATTTGGGCTTCTGTCCAAACCGTATTTTTTTCCCCACAAACTGGAAACCAGTTTAAAAATAAAGGCTTTAACTCTTACTTTTTTTTTGTCTTGTGATTTGTTACGAATGAGATTTAAACTCAGAGTAGCTACGCTTTAGAGAGATCTCAAGCTGAAGATCTCCTCCTGCTCACTGCATTGACAAGTTATACAGGGCCTCCTGCCGATGATCATCGTTGCAGAGCTTTCAGTGAATAAATAATTTGACACTTTGTCAAAAATAAATTAGAGCTGCTGCACTGGGGGGAGAAGGGAATAAAAGTTTTAGGTAAGTAAGTAGGAAGTGCTGTGTTTGTGTTTTGGGGGAAGGAGGAGAATAAAACTTGAGGTTAAGTCCTGCCTCTGAGCATGTGCTGGTCCTCCTGCCTTCCCAGTCAGGTTTCCGGGACCTCCCTACCAACTAATTAGCCAAGGCCTTTAATAATAGATACCATTAATTAAAGCTTTATTTATTGAAACTAATTTGTTAGGGAGGCTGCAGGGGCCTGACTGGGCCAGTGCACGCTCGTTATGCAAATGCAGGGCCAAAAATTTGAGGGAAGTCCTGCCCCTGCGTCCACACTAATGACAGTTTCAATAAATAAATAAAGCTTTATTTATTTATTGAAACTGTGTGTTAATTAGTGGTGTCTGCTATTAAGGGCCTTGGCTAATTAGCACAGGCTGTAGTTAAATTGTGCCTGACTTACCCCATTACGAGATTCCCTACTTTACCCCTGAATGAAGCATTACAACACTAGTCCGTGCGGTCAGCAGTTCACAGCCACCGTCCGGGCCAGCCGCTCCCGAAGGTGGTTGGCAAAGTCAACCTGCGTCTGGGACAGAACCTGGTTGATGATGGTCTTCGGCAGCCAGCCCTGGAGGGGAGCGGATACAGCCCGTGAGCGGAACTTGCCTCGAATGCAAATCCTGCTTCTACCTGGACATGTTTGCTGCAGAACTGAACTTACCTTCAGGTCAATGCTGAGAAGCCATATTAGCTTGGTTTGCGAAGGACTGCCGGGCAGCGGGCGCAGGATCATGCACGTGGGACCGTTCTCAGCTCTGTAAGAGGACAGGAGCGCACGTGTTAGAAAGCAACGTCTGACTTCGCCTCAAAATTACAGCCGTGCTGAAGCACTTTGCAGTTCCTGCTACTGAGACAAACCTAATGACTCTGAGCCCATACTAAAAGCTGGTGTGCGAATCCGACTCATTAAACACCCGGTAAGTGAATGCAAAAAAGGTGATTACCTTACAAATCCTTCCTGTTCTGGCATAGCCCCGTATTTTGTGGACATGCCGGCCAGGACACAGGTGGAGCCACGTCTCTTAGAGCACCGGACGCTCACGAAGTCCCGTGGTCCGACAATGTTACCGGGGGTAGCGGCCGCCTTCTCGTGGGTGATGACTGTGTCCTTTCCAATCTTCTGGAGAATCTAGACAGTTTAGAATTAAAATGTTAATTTGAGGTATTTACTGCAAACATAGCTAAAAGCTAGCTTTGATTACTGTGTATTCAAATACACGCTCTTACTAAAACTCAATGCTTATAGTGAGAAAAATTGCAAATATGCTCTTCATCCCAGAACACAGAACATTTGTTTTCAACACCTGAAAAGGGAAGGTGTTTCTCTTATTCCAGACAACCTGTGGAATAGCAAAATGCTCTTCTCTGCACGTCGGGGTACCGTGCTATTTCTCCTCCAGTAACAGTACAAATTTAACAACAGAGCTGGCCCGCTACCTCGCGAGGGCATTCCCTACAGAATAAGTAGCACACAACCCTCCATCCACAGACAAGCTGTTACAGAGTCACTTCTGCTGCAGCAGCAATCTGATTACTGCAGAACAAGCTCTACGTCTGCAGTAGGGAGCAGACAAGATAAAGTCTGGCTTCTCATTTCCCGAAGAACGTGTGGAGAAATCCCCGTGCTCCTGCTGCGATGGGCAAAGCGATTCTTCGGCCCTTCTGACGCCAGACAAAGCAGCACGCGTGTGTGAACCCCTGGCTGAGACAGGTCTGACATGCGCTTCCTACCTTGACTTCTCTGACGTTGGGATTCCAGTCTCCCATCTGCTCCATGTTGTCCACCAGCTCGCTGTACACTGTGTCCAGGGGCTGGTCCACCACCACCTCCAGTCGGAACACCCTGCCCACGTCCGGGAGCACCTTGCTCTGCACTTTGTCTCCGTTATCCTGGGAGAGGGGAAGGCAGAATTAACATCACAAATATTTACAGGAGGACCGTGTCATTCTGCTGCAGAGCGGAGCACCTACCACCACCGTCTCCGTCTTCCAGCCGTCCTGGTCCCCGAGGATGCTGAGCGATTTCTGGAGGGCTTCCTCTCCTTGCTTGATGTAAGACATTTCCAGTCCGGGAGCCCTTGCTCTGCACTTTGTCTCCGTTATCCTGGGAGAGGGGAAGGCAGAATTAACATCACAAATATTTACAGGAGGACCGTGTCATTCTGCTGCAGAGCGGAGCACCTACCACCACCGTCTCCGTCTTCCAGCCGTCCTGGTCCCCGAGGATGCTGAGCGATTTCTGGAGGGCTTCCTCTCCTTGCTTGATGTAAGACATTTCCATCTCGCTGAAGGGCTTCTCCTCCAGCCTTGAGCCTGCACGGGATCGGACAAAAACAGGAGCGAGCGTAAGAACACTGCACAGTTGACTAACGCATCGTAACACCAGATAAGCTTTATCTACATCAAATACATTTCTCCGTGCCCAGGGATTGGGGAAGTAAACTCAATTCCCACCGCTTGCCTGCCTTCGCCGTTTGTTTAGCAAAAGCACAGGCGACCCACGAGCAGGTTTTCCTCCAACCACTCTCCCGAGCCCTGACACGTGACGGTCACCACCCAGCAGAAAGGGCCAGACCCCCCCATCTGCCCGTCACTTACTGAGCAAGGAGCTCCTTCTGCGAACCTGGTTAATCCACGTGCTGGGTCCCGTGCCACGGCAGGCGAGCTTGCTCAGCTCCTGGCTGATGGCGACAGCGGCCTGTCTTCTCAGACCTGAGAGCAGAGAGCGTGTTACTCACCAGCTGCAGAGGGTTTGCTGGGCTTTGCTCTTTTTTTTGCAATTTAAACATGCAACATTGAAAAAGCCTCTGCTTGCCTCCTTTTACCTGCTACCTTCGCTGAAGCCCCTACAGGCACAGAGAGCAGCTGACTGCCGTTGCACTGCTCTGGGACAGAAGCTGTCCTACACAACCTGGGCTTTGCTCCAGGTCTGAGCCACGCAGCACGCGAGGAGCAGACGACAGTCGTAAAAATACCGAGGAGCAATCATGCGGGTGCCCAGGAAAGGCCATAGGAAATGGAGTACAAGAATACAAAATCCTCGCAGCCAGCAGGAGTGTTGCCTATAGCTACCCTCCGCGTTCGGCAATGGCACACAGCCATCCCTCTCGGACCCCAGAAATAGGTCTGGTGGCAAAATGGGTGGTGGAGACAGTAAAACGTGAAACCCAGAAAGCAACAGGGCATGGGGTGGGGAGAGCATCCCCGGAGACCCCAGCCTCCTCCCACCCTGTGAGCCCTGCTGGCGCTGCCCACTGCAGGCAGCCCGCGGAGAGGGGCTCCCCCAGCCCCGCGTCCTGGCCCCCTGGCCCCTCACCGGTCATGTTGCGCAGGTGCCGGTAGGAGATGGCGGCGCAGAGCTTGAACGTTGCGGGCAGCATCTCCCTAGTCAGGCAGGAGCCGTTGGCTCTCTGTGGCGAGCGCTCCTCTGCCCCAGCCCTCCGGGCGCTCGGCCTTAAATACGCCCGCTGAAGGATGCTGGCTTGTCAGCAGGGAGATAAGAGCCATCACTTACGGCAGGGCCCTGGGGGCCAAGGCCAGACCCGGCTCCTCGCGCATCTGCTGGGGGCCGCGGGTCACCCCCAGCGCGTCCGGCGAGCAGATGCACGCACATGGGCGGGTACATGCTTGTACACCGTGCTGGCACGACGGAGCCCGGCCAGCCCCCACCCGCAGTCCAGCCACGGGGGGCACAGGCAGCTCCCGCAGCGAGAGGAGGGCAGGAGACCAAGGCACAGCCTCCCTGCCCAGCTCGTACGGTGCTTTGCAGGCGACCCCTGTGCCAGGGGCAAACCGCGCTGCACATGGACCTGGGGTCCACGGCACGGCTGCCCCTGCACGGATCATCAGCCACGGATAACAACGGATAACAATCAATTCTGACAGGTAACAACAGATAATGGTGGATAACAACAGACAGTAACAGATAACAACGGATAACGATGGACAACACCATCTCACAGCACAACCACCCCAGAATAACCGGAGCCAGGCTCAGCCCAACCTCAGCTAACGCCGGACACAAGAACGGGGCAGCCTGTCCCCCCGCCCGGGGACCAGACCCCAGCACAGAGCCCTCGCTGTGGTGACACGTTAAAGCCCCAGTGCACAAGGCCAAACCCCGCAGGCAGAGCGGGACCTCCCAGCACTGCTGGCACCCGAGAACGTGCGTGGGACCGGCGGGCACCTGGGATGGCTGTGCACGGCAGGGCAGCACTGGGGATGCTTTATGCACATCGCATGGACAAGAATGTTTCGGACAGCGCGCAGCCCTCCCTTTTGCCCCACAGAGCCCCGCGCCAACACAGCCTGTCTTCCAGCCTATATAAAGTTGAATATTAAGTATACTAAGCCGCTGAGCCTGGGGCTGGGAGCGAGGGGCAGCCCCCGTACCTCCCCCAGAGGCTGGTTTATCTGCCACAGGGCTGGGAGCGGTGGGTAACGGCAGAGCAGCGATAACACTCAAGGATGAAATGACATTTCTGGGATGAGTTACGGCCCCAGAGACCAGCGCTCCCAAGAACCCGTGAATCACCAGCTGCTTCCTTTGACGTCAGCCCCTGCACCCTCCTGCGGGGAACCTGACCTTCCTCCCCGCTGTTGCAACAACTTGGCCAAGGGGGAGGTCAGCCGCTCGCTGTGCCGGCAGCTCGGCCCCAGGGAGCCCCTCGCCTCCCCCATCCTGCCCGCTGAGCCCCTGGAGAGGTGATTTGGGTCCTACCTGCCATCCGGGAACAGTCCCTGCTGCTCCGGCCCTGCTGCTCCCCGGGACGGCTCCTCTCCATCGCCGGGGCTGCTGTTCTCCATCATGTGCAAGAAAAGACACCTCGCATTCACGCCGGCGATGGAGGTGCTGGTGGGACGATGAGGAAGCCAGAAGCTGTGCCATCCCCTTCCCAAATGTTTACTGGGAAATCCCCGCCGCAGCCGTGCTCCCGCTCGCCGACCGGTGCTGCAGTCCCAACGCAGGCGTGATGCCCAGGTCCCTGCCGCACCTCTCCCCCTGGGCTGGGCTTTGTCCACCCGGTCCCCACACGCCTGCACGTGGGGAGAGGAAAAATCAGGAGGGTTTGAAATCCCTGAGCCGCTGCTGGGAGCTCCCAACCCCGCAGCCTGGTGCTCGTGCCAAATGCACGCCGAGCACCAATGGGTCTGTGGTGCCCAGGGAGAGCGGGTGAGACCCTCTGGCAAGGTGCGTAGCCCCCGGCCCCTCACCTTGCCCTGCTGGTGAGGCAGCTGGAGCACCCTGGCCAGGGGACGCAGAACCGGGGACGTGGGTAGCAGGGAGACCCGCTGGCTGCGAACCGGCCAGGACCACTGTTATCCCAGATGGAGCAGCCGCTCCCGGGCACGAGACCTTGGCACAAGGACGTGCTGTTGTTTGTGTGAAGAACCGAAACAGAGCCTGGGCAGAGCCACTCCTCCAGCTCCGGGCTGGGGGGGCTGGAGGGGCACGAGCCCCTCTGTGCCCCTCAGGAGGGGACACGTAGGGACAGTCACGCTGCGCCATGGCACATTAAGGCAAATTCTCCGGGCGGCCAGTCCCCAGAGCGGCACACAGAGACCCACAGCCTGCTGGGAAGCTGTGCCAAAAAGGCATCCGGGCCCCTCAGGAAGGTCTGGTTAACTGGGACACCCCCCCCCTAACGCTCACCGGCTCCCAACACCACCTCAGCATCTCCTCTGGGCGTCCCTTGGGGGTCCCACGCTGTCGCCGTGCTGCTGGGCTGCCTGCTGCGTCCGCTGAGCCTGCGAGGAGAAGGGACGGCAGCCCTCCCGCGGCACCGGGGATGGCACCGGGTGCTGCAGGCATCGGGGACGGGATTTGGGTCCCAGCACCTACCTTGGGCACCAGGAAGGTGCCTCTCCGTCGGGGCAGGAGGGAGCACAGCTGGTCTGGCTGGCTGAGTCCACGCGTGCTCCAGCACAGCTCGCCTGGTCAGGGCAGGATGAGGCCCAGGCCACAGCTTGGACCTGCCCGGACCCACCTGGACCCTTGGGTGATGGTGCCGAGCTGGGCCCTGCCGAGCTGAGGGTGCTGGGGGCAAGGGGGGAGCGCGGCTGCATCCTGCATGCCAGCAAGGGGACACCCAGGAAGATGGCACAGCCCCACTCTGGGACAGGCACCCAGCACCCTCCCACCCATGTCCCGTGGGGGCAGGAGGAGGGAGAAAACACTGGGGGAGGCAAAACAGCCACAAAGGCCCCCGCAGCACCCACTGAGCCCCTGTCCCCCATGAAACACCCCCCACGTCCCCACGCAAAGTCACCACGCGGCTCCGTTTGCAGCTTTTAGCTTAAAAATGTACATCCAGGCGCTCAACGTACAAACATTTACAACTGTTTACAAATGTACAAAACTGGATCGAATGTAAACCAAAGGTGCCGGAGGCAGAGATTCACCGGGGCCCAAAGGCATGGGGGCCCAGGCGCTCGCAGCACGCTCACCTGCAGCACGGCCCCCCCTGCCCACATGCACTGCCCTTGCACACCCATGCACAGTGCCTGCCCCTTGCACACCCACATGCACAGCCCCTTGCACGCCCACGTGC